TGTTCTCCAATCTTTTAAAGTTGTTGGAATAGATCAAACTGCAACTAATATCTCGGTGTTCCACAAATCTATCTTTCCCTACTGGAAACAAATTTAGACTGTCTTCGTGGTGCGTAGGTCTTTACTTCAAGCCAAGGTCGGACCAATGAGTTTGAACTGCACTACAGCGTTTGCCGTGACACAACTATCATTCTTATCTGACTTCTCCCTGATCTGATCCCTCCACATACATCTGAGAAAAATGTCTTATATAAATGCATACGTTTTATTGTCTGATAATTTTTGTGTATTTAAATGTACTACATGAATTATTTCACTGTTTTAACAATTTTTGTTTTGTTTTGCGAAGCAGATTAAATTAAGCCTTACGCTTCTTTCTGTATCGTTTGTATACTTGTTTCTTACTACTGTAATTATATGAAATAAATAAATTGTTTATCAAAAAAAAAAAGTAAAAAAAAGCTTAACCCAACATTCTCTTTCTTTTACGGTTGCTAGGAAGTAGATCTCCCCTGTCAGTGATGCAGAGGGGCTGACATGGAACGTCTAGTCGTTCGGACGGGACAATCAATCGAGGCATCGTGTGCTACAGACTGTGCAGATTAAAGATCCCTTGACAGAGCCAAATCGAAAAAGAGCAGGTTAATGACACTGTCCTGGCAAAATTTCACTCATTGCGCTCTGAAATGACGTTGTCTGTATTGATTAGCCCACATGGTGCAGAAAAATAGGACTTTAAACTCAATTTATTTCATTTTTCATTTCACTTTTTGTAGTAGATCTATGCATAAAAAATTTTAAGTTTTTAACGGATGTATATCCCTTTTCCATTAGATTTAATTGCGAACATGTGAATTGTTTAAACTTGTTCTGTAGATAAGGAAACGTGGATTTTTCAAGCCGGTTTCCCTCTGTCAGTGATGCAGGTAAGAGAGGCTGACATGGAAATAGCATTTAGAACTGAGGCCCCGTGTGCTAAGATCTGTCGACAATTGGAAGATTTCCCTCATTGTAACCTGTATGGTGTTGCCCGTTCTATTAGCCCACATGGTGCAGAAGAGTAGGACGTAAAACTCCATTCATTTCATTTCAATTTATAAGGAGGGTAACTATCATTAGATGGGAAGAGGAATTAATATATATCTTTGCTTTACATTATAGTTGGTGGTTTGAGTATGATAGAAATGAATCTAATAAGATGTTGCTATTAGCTGGTAATCCTCAGGGTACATTTCTTGTGAGAGAAGCATCAGGTAAAGATCTTAGTACCCCAGATAAACGTTACAATGTGTTGATTTTTCGTACAGAAGAAATTTTGTGCTTTATCTAGTATAAAGATGTTCTATTATAATTTTTGTAGATTAAGAGATCACTTGTGTTATCTGTTAGAGCTGAAGATATCGTAACATTAGATGTTTCGTTATGTTTTTGTAGATAAGAGATTACTTGTGTTATTTGTAAGAGCTGAAGATATTGTAACACTGGATGTTTCGTTTTGTAGATAAGAGATCACTTGTGTTATCTATCAGAGCTGAGGATATTGTAACATTAGATGTTTCGTTATGTTTTGCAGATAAGAGATCACTTGCGTTATCTGTAAGAGCTGAAGATATTGTAACATTGAATGTTTCGTTATGTTTTGTAGATAAGAGATCACTTGTGTTATCTGTAAGAGCTGAAGATATTGTAACATTAAATGTTTCGTTATGTTTTTGTAGATAAGAGTTCACTTGTGTTATCTATCAGAGCTGAAGATATTGTAACATTAGATGTTTCGTTATGTTTTGTAGATAAGAGATCACTTGTGTTATCTGTAAGAGATGAAGATATTGTAACATTAGATGTTTCGTTATATTTTTGTAGATAAGTGATCACTCGTGTTATCTGTTAGAGCGGATGATATTGTAACATTAGATGTTTCGTTATATTTTTGTAGATAAGTGATCACTTGTGTTATCTGTTAGAGCGGATGATATTGTAACATTAGATGTTTCGTTATGTTTTTGTAGATAAGAGATCACTTGTGTTATCTGTTAGAGCTGAAGATATTGTAACATTAGATGTTTCGTTATGTTTTTGTAGATAAGAGATCACTTGTGTTATCTGTTAGAGCTGAAGATATTGTAACATTAGATGTTTCGTTATGTTTTTGCCGATAAGAGATCACTTGTGTTATCTGTTAGAGCTGAAGATATTGTAACATTAGATGTTTCGTTATGTTTTTGTAGATAAGTGATCACTTGTGTTATCTGTTAGAGCTGAAGATATTGTAACATTAGATGTTTCGTTATGTTTTTGCAGATAAGAGATCACTTGTGTTATCTGTTAGAGCTGAAGATATTGTAACATTAGATGTTTCGTTATATTTTTGTAGATAAGTGATCACTTGTGTTATCTGTTAGAGCGGATGATATTGTAACATTAGATGTTTCGTTATGTTTTTGTAGATAAGAGATCACTTGTGTTATCTGTTAGGGCTGAAGATATTGTAACATTAGATGTTTCGTTATGTTTTTGTAGATAAGAGATCACTTGTGTTATCTGTAAGAGATGAAGATATTGTAACATTAGCTGTATCTGTTAGGCATTATAAAATCGAAAAAAAGGATAATGGTGAATTCTATATTAGTTCCCGTTTCAGTTTTAAAACATTGGAAGAACTCATTGATTTTTATAAGGGTAGGTCACTTTTGCAAACCCATTGTAATACGAGTGGGCGTGCACAAACATAATTGTGAAGCTTCATCAGTTGGAAATTTCAACAAAGCAGGCTGTTGAAGCTTTCCTTGTAAAATTTTCCTCATTGCACATTGCATGCTGTTTCCTATCGAAACAGGTACAGAAAAGTAGAATGTAAACTCCATTTGATTTTTGTTAAACTGTTCAATTTGTGGCACCTGTTGTTACCCTTAGTAATAGCAGCACAATAAGGTGTTGAATTTTTTTTTTTTTAAATATTTATAATGTAAGATCTTTAGACGTTTTTATCATCTTATCCATGGACTCTCTTATTTAAAGGGAAAACGAAAACAGCTATTGTATGTAGAGACTTGAATATTTGTATGTACCATTTTTGTAATGTTTTTAGGAAATAGTGAGGGATTATGTTCAAGATTGACAAAACCATGTTCTAAACTCAGACCTGTTGTTCCTTTTCGGGAATTGGAAATCGGTCGTGATGTCATTGAATTTGGTTTAGAACTAGGAAAAGGATTCTATGGAAAAGTTTATAAAGGTACAGTTATTAGTTTGTGAAACAGTGAATTAGATATACATTTTTATTCGCATTTCTGGTTTATTCTAGTACAAAAAAACTTTTTTTGCAATATTTTTCAATTTTTTCAAGAATTTAATTCTAAGCTTATTTTTTTAATTTTCTTCTAGGAAAACTAAGAAATGTCGTTGATGTTGCAATAAAAGTTTTAAACTCAGCACAGATGACAAATGTAGATTTTTTGAAAGAAGCTCAAATAATGCACAAACTTAGTCATAGACGTTTGGTGGGATTAATCCATGTTTGTACAGATACATTACCTATCTTAATTATAACAGAGTTTATGGCCAAAGGGTCTTTATTAAAATATCTACGCAGTGATGATGGAAAAAATCTTGAGTTTCTAAAACTTGTTGAAATGGCAGCACAGGTTAGTAATCCATTTGTTTTCTATCACTGTCTTGTTCACCAAAATATATTATGGGTATTTTTGGGGTAAGGGTGTGTGAGAGCGAGGGTGGGAGTGTGTGAAGATTAGTACTAGCTTTTCTCATATGAAAATTTTTAATTTGACATCTGAAAAGTATTCAAAATCAACCATATTTACAGATTATAAATAGCAAGCTTAATGAAAATTTGCTCAATAGACTGTCAAAATTTCACTATTCAGGATTCAATTTTAGATATTTTGTTTTCACTTTGGTTGTGTGGAATACAAGCTACTTTCTTTCTAATAATCTTAAACTATTTTTACGTATAGTTAAATAAATCATATACCAATAAATATTCGTTTTTGCATGTCTTTTTTTATTTACAGTTCTTATGCAAAGTCATTCTGATTTTCATTTTCACTTCTATAATTGAAGCGTAGGAGCGTCGTTATTTTTTCCTTATTATTCAAAAAAGAGCTTTCTTTTTTCCAAATATAGATAACTGATGGTATGGCTTATTTAGAAAAAGAACATTTAATTCATCGTGATTTGCGGGCTGATAATATTTTAGTTGATGAAAACTGTACTGTTAAAGTAGCCGATTTTGGCCTGGCAAGAGAATTATTGAACAACGAAGATTATGATGCTGCTGAAAGTAAGTTTTTTTGTTATTGTTTATTGCTCTGAAATGAACATAAAAAAATTCTCCATGAAGTTAAGCTATCACACTTTTACCAAAAGGTCTACAGCAATAAATCTTGCATGAATATTGTCTAAAATTTTATCTCTTCACATGTATAGGTAACATAAACATCTTTAAATTTGGTCCTAATTTATCTACAGTTAATTTGACAATGTGCGTGGTTAGTAAAAGTCTAGAAAATCCTATTATCAGGACTTAGATTCATGGTAGATTGTCTTGTCAGAGTGGAGTGGTCAATAACATTGTTATGTATGTAACAATAAGTTCCATGCATGTATCTGTGGGTTATATTATGAATTGTAATCGATTTTATAGACAGAAAAATAAATATTGTTTAAATCATCTGTGAATATTTATGCTCTGTTTTTGACATTACAGATACAAAATTCCCTATCAAGTGGACAGCTCCAGAGGCGGCTAATTATAGAACGTTCAGTATTAAATCTGATGTGTGGTCATTTGGTGTATTATTATATGAGCTAATTACTTATGGAAGAGTTCCTTATGTTGGTGAGCTTTTTGTTTTTATATGTGGACAATCCTAAATTACTCTAAGAAATCATTTATATACAAAATGCATTAAAGATTACATTACATAATTATGATCTATATCAAATTAATGGATTATATATTAATTCTAGGTAAATCTGGCAAGGCAACTATTGATATGATATCAAAGGGAGGAAGAATGACACAACCTGAGGAGTGTCCAAAAAGCTATTATGATATCATGTTACAATGTTGGAAGCAGAGACCTGAAGAACGACCAACATTTGAATCTTTACACAATACATTTGAAGATTATACGGTGAATACAAGCGAAAGTAGATGCTACCTGATTTTGTTATAAAAAGTGTGTCACGTGGGCTTATAATACGAATTATTGGGTGAATTGAATTGATCAAACTACCATATTAATTGGGGGATTAATTAATCAGGCAATGAGAATGTAATGAGATTAACGCATGTAATCAAAATACGAGTAATAGATATTATATAAAAATAGTTATTTTGTTGATATATGGTGAAGAATCATAGGACATTGAATTTTTATTTTTTTTATTTTATTTGTTTAGTTATTCAATTACTCTAAGGCAATATGCCTACAGTATTAAAGTACAATGATTTTTGATATATACGATGCCAAACAAAGTTATGTTAATTAAATAAAGTAAGTAAATATAGTAATATACATAGCGTTGATTAAATAATAAGAAATACATACGAGATAAATAAATAAGGGTAAATATCAATAAATATATATATATACAGAACCAATAAATCATCAGAAACGTCTAAGGCTTTAGGATTTCCGTCCTTATTTCCATTGCCTTACATATAAATATGGACAGAGAACGAACTATATTTGGGTCTTGGCTCATAAACATTCTGACAACGTTTTCCTCTGAAGGGTATTTAGTTAGCCATGTTGGCAAGAAATTTGTTCTGAGATCTTCGAGTATAGGACAGAATGCTATAAAGTGTAGCTCGTCGCCTAATTGCTTTATATTGCAAATTGAGCATATTCGCTCCTCCCTTGTAATATTATGGCGGCCTTGTTCAATCTCTAAAATAATGATGAGTTGAACATCTAAGGTTAGCAAGACAAAAACGGAGTTTATGTGATAATGGACTAGATAAATAAGATTCAGCATATATACTAGATTTGATCTTGTGGTAGAATTCACAGCGAGGGGATTTAGATATAAAAGCCTGTCAGATTTGAAAGTTTATATGCCTTGTCTAAAGCAAGCAAGAAACTGCGTAACGTCCCCTACACCCTGGTGCATCCACACATGACCAAAACCAGAACTTAATAACAACATACGTGCAGATGAGCACCAATTAAACCTACCATGTAAATCGTGTTCGTATAACATCAGGTAACACAATTTTGGTAATCGGTTGTCACTCATACTTTGGATTGTAAGAAAATATTTAACCGGTTTAATAACACAGTTGACGTAGAGCTCTAGTCTGCCACAATGGCGTTTGTAGTTTTCACACCTGTACACAGAATCCATTTGCAGAATTTGTTTTGTACATTTTCTATATCCGTCTTGAGTTCGGTTCCCCAAATTTCTGCTCCATAGTATAATATTGGACTGACCATAGAATCGAACAGTTTAAATGCAATATTAACATTACGCTGTCCAAGTTTAGACATGCATAGCTTTATACAGTTAAGTGCCTTGGTTGCTTGCAGAGAAAGGGTTTTACAACAAAGATTCCACTTAAGTCTATTTGAAAATATAATACCTAGATATTTGTAATGATTGACAACATCAATCTGGTTACCCTGATAGTGCCATTTTTCTTTTTTTGACAAAACACCCCCGTTCTACAACTTGAGTCCTAACAAGATTAACTCTCATGTTCCATTTTGAACAATATGTATTGAGGACATCAAGCCTATTCTGGAGTTCACCTACAGTATCTGCAACCAAGGAGATATCATCGGCGAAAAGCAAGAGAAAAACATCTTCGATACATTGATTAATAAATAAACCTGATCTACATTCAGATCTCAACATGAGAGCAAGCTCATTTATGTAAATTCCAAATAACCACGGGCTAAGGATACACCCTTGCTTTACCCCAGAGACACATTCAAATTCTGTAGAATAAGTACCATTAGCTCTAACTTTTGAAGTGGTGCGATTGTACATATCGTATAGCAAATTATACATTCGGCCGTGCATGCCCTTTTTGATGAGTAAACAAAATAATTTTGTTCTTTGGATTAAATCAAATGCAGTACTAAAATCGACAAAACAACAATATAAGACCCCGTTTTTAGATTTAGATAAGTATTTCTTGACAATAGAATTAAGAACAAATATATTATCAACAGTGGAGTAGCCACGTCTGAAGCCTGCTTGTTCTTCAACAAGTAGTTGATGTTCCTCGGACCATTCGACAAGTCTTTTGTTGAGAATAGAACACAATAATTTTGATACAACATCAATTAAGGAGATTCCACGATAATTTGCAGGTGTACGTGTCACGGTCACCCTTTTTATGTACTGTGTGGATGATTACAAGTTACAAGTTGATTATCAAACCACCGTGGCTGTTTACGATAGTCTGGTTGCATACAACTCCTCATTTTCGACTTATCACCGGTAGACAAAAGAGCTTCATTTAGAAGTTTGATCGAGGATTCCATGTCTTCGTCGAGTTTCTGGAGCACGTTGTCTAGTTTATACGTGAATTCGGCACTATTAATGTTTAATATAAATTGGTCAGCAAAACTCGGTTTCCATTTATACTTGACAATTTGTGGCGATGTAATTTTTGTAAATGGTTTGACGTTCTTACACAGTATAAGTTCACATAATACTGGAAAATGTTTTGATATATCTGTGTCAAGGACGGAATACACATTAGATATATTCTATATTAGAGAAACGATTTGGACTCACGATAATATAATCGATTGTACCCGCACCACTTGTGGATACATATGTGAAATTGCCTTGGGAATCGGGATTTTTTCGACCATTCAGAATTATGAAGTTATTTTCGCAACACAAATCCAACAGGTGCTTTCCGAAATTATTCGTTAGCATGTCACAGTTTTGTCGTGTTGGTAACATATCTGTCGGAGAATGGTTTATTTGCATGATGTCATAGCAAGCCTCCAAACTTGGTATATGGGTGCCAGTGCCGCATTCAATGAAGTCTACCTCCATTGCAGTTCTGGCATTCATGTCTCCCATTAAGATAGTATCTATATCAGTATAGATTTGTTTAATAGAGAATAATGCTGATTCTATCGAGGAAATATTGCAGTTTATATCTTTGTTATCATAAAAGATTGAGTTGACGGGTGGGACTTAAACACAACCTAAAATAGTATTTTTCTAGGCAGGCCAAGTTTTTTGGTGTTGATGTGTAGCCATACCATTTCTTCCAGAGTGTCAGGTACTAGAATTCGTTTTGTGTAGGTGGATAGAGCCGCCTTAACAAGCACAAGTACACCCCCAGAAGATTTATTTGAGTCGCAAGTTCTCATACTATCAAATGTGTGGTATCCCGGGAAAGTATATGAAAATTCATCACGAGTTTTTTGAAAAGTTTCCACAAAACCAACTATATCATATTGTTTGACTAGAGTGTATAAATTATCGTATTTAGAAAGTTTATATGAGAGGCCTTCAATGTTCCAAGTAACAATATTAAGAGATCGTTTATTATATTCGGGTGTCGTTTTTCTGTTATTTGGCTGCTATTGATTGAGTGGAACTAATTGTTTCTTTTCAAGGTCAAAAGTAAATACATTTCTGTTAATAATCAGTTTATCAGATTTGAGCGTCACGGCGTTATCACTGTTCTGCTTGGCCTCTTTGAGATGTGGTATTAACCCTTTACGAATTGATCTCACTCTTTGAGTGAAATCTTCAGAAACACTGACATTTGATTCTTTGAGCAGTTGTCTGGCTTTAGACAGGATTATGTCTCTCATTTTTAGTCTATGAAACGAAACTTTGATAGGACGTGATCGACTGGAGTTTTGACGCATTTTTCGGACACGGTGAATACGATCAATGGAAACTAAACTGTCACCCTCTGCCCCCTCCATCTTTAATTTCTCTGATAAAAACTTTCTTATCGAAATTTCACAATCACCCCAGGTTTCTCTTTTCCCTTCTTTACTTTCGTCAAAACCATAAAATATCAAATATTTCTGTCTCAATTGATTATCATTTACGTCAACTTTGCTTATGACTGTGTCGGTGTCCGATTTAACTTGATTTACTTCATTCCTCAATGACATGAGTTCGTCTTTGATATTAAGTTCCCTCACTTCCCCTCTGAGGCTAGCTATCTCGTCCTTCAAATCTAGAACAATTTGAGTGAGGTCTTTAAGGCTATCTTCACTATTGCTTAAAACTAACTCACCGGTCTTGGTTGAGATTTGGCTTTGTCTAGTAGCTGGACCTGGATTTGATTCAATGTCGCCGGCCATTAACATCAGCAGATTGACGAGAAAAACAAGAGAGAGTGTCATGTTCGTAAAATGAAGCACATTATTCCTCAGATTTCTTGTAGTAATTCTGTGTATATAAAGTCCAATGTTGGCTCTCCATGCCGCTAAATCGTAGCTCATTTTCCTCGAGATTAACTTGAAAATTGATACGGTTCGTTGAATCTTGATCGATAAATGCGACCGTTCACCTCTGACATTGAATAATATGGTAGGTCCCGTGAAAATTTGGTTAGGAAAAAAACAAAAAATCGGTAGAATTCGGACATACTGTGAGAGCGATGGACAACAAGCAAAAGCAATAGAAACCCGACAACTTCGGTAGATTATACATGTATGAGGAGGGGATGATTAAAATAAGTCTTCCTGACATCTTCCTAAATGGTCATTAGCTCCTTAGATATTAAATGCAATATTTGTCTCTAAATGAGGGATATCTATTGTGAAAGAGGTATTTCACAGGCAGAAATCTCAATGTAACCTACTAAAAACTAATGAAGCTCTTATAAATATTTTATATGAAATTTGTTTTATTTATGTACAGAATATTTATATTTTGCTATATCTTAATAAGGTAATTTCTAAGCCTACCGTACTAATTTTGTACTAAATTTTTATTCCAAATATTTATTGATCTGTGTGCATGTGACTGAATATGATGCTTTACTGCAGCAATAGTTAAATAACTACATAATTATATAGTAGGCCTAAATAAGAAAGAGTTATGAAATCTTATTATTTTTTTTTAAAAAAAGAGTCTCAAGCATCATGATTCCATATACAATGTAACGTAGCCTAATAATTTAATTGCCAACTAATTTTGTCTTTGATCTGACAACAACAATGAGTGTCTACATTTTCTTTAATCAAAAATCATATGAACATTTTAATTCGTTAAAAATTGAGGTTTGTCTGTAATTGTTATAATTCGCGAGTAATGATGTCATTATATGAGTATTACAATTTATCTTCAAAAACAATTGAAATATCATAACATATTATAACAGTACTTCCATTAATCGAAGTAGTTTTTTTATGTTGTCACTTTTCTCTATGTGGAATTAAACAAATTGTTGGTTGTTTGAATATTGAAATGATGAAGCTTTAATCTTTCAAAGGCATGACGGCGTGAGAACCACATTGAAACGTTGAAGTAATAAATATTCTACAAGTGTCTTATTTATTAGATATAGCTTTAGTTTTCAACTAATTTTCTTTAAACTTGCTATGTATTTATTTAATCTATCAGAAAGTTCGTGTTGAAATTTGTGTAGTTACCACCAATTAGAATATCAATCAAAATTTGGTTATTCTTTGATGAAGTAGGTACATCTTAGCATGGCCCACTATCTAAATTGTAGACAAACAGTGTGCCAGCTTAGTGTTCCTAAACACGGTATGGGCACTTGAAATTGGCTGGTGAAGCTATATTAAATAGCTATTTGTGTATCCCTTTCTAATATATCATAGTACATACATGTATATTTCTGTTATAAAATTATTTCTTGTTCGTGTTTGTTTTATTGACATAATGGACATGTGTATTAAGAAAAAAGAGAGAAACAACTAACTTAGGTTCCCAATTAAAGATCTTTTCTACCAGCTGGTCCTTGGCCAACCTCTTGGCATTGATCTTTCCAGAATTATCCGTGACCATTTGTTACTGGAATTATAAGTGAAGATGACTTAATCAAGGTCATCGGACTTTCACACGAAGATTGAGATTGTAGCCCGGTGGGTTCATTTTGCCGCATTGCCCAACTTGTCGCATCGTGCCCAACTGCAAAAAAACGACTTGTAAAACGAAACTAAAGGTTTCTGATAAAATCCGAAATGGCCATTTGTTTCATATGAAACGAAATATTTTAATCTATTAATCTATTAATCAATTTTCTTTTTATTTATAATTTGGACCTGTTGGGAAAATCGAAAGTAGTTTTATGGTCAAATCTGGAAGAAAAGAAATACCAAGTAAGCTACAAAAGATCAGAACCGTAATACACAATGAATAAAATTAGTTATAACTTGCAAGAGTAATGTCCCTCTACTGCGTGCCTATAACGTTGAAATAAATCTTTCTAGTTGAATGTGGTCTATATATTTGTTATTGGGTGAAATTTGAAACGATTTTCGTACCTTTTGTTATTTGCGGTCTGCGGATGTGAGATATCGGTTTACATGAATATTATATTATGTACAAGTTTAAACAATTTTGGATATCAAATGACTTTATTCGAAAGACAATGAACAAGGAAGTAAATTTTACCATGAATATTTATACACCAATAATCCGTGTTGGCCCTGTTTACATTAGTACAGGTACAACTAGTTACATGAAGTAGGGTTTTCCAATAATAAATATAGATCATCGAAAGTCTTTATTGAAATTGGCTGGTAATTTAACTTATACTTGTAGTAATAAAATGTGGTGAGTCTTAATCAAAAAGTTTTAGAGATTTTATATGAAGAGTCTGTTTTGAATTTGAGAGAGAATGTGGTTGAATGACATAAAATTGGGTTGTCTTTATACTGTTTACTTGTGATTGTATGAAAGCTTCTAGTATACATATATATAATATAAATTCTATAGTCAGTTTACTAGCAGCGGAAAAGTTTGAATACTAAGTCACAGTGCAATACTAGAGTGATGCCACAACATGTACATTAGTCAGTCTGATGTCCACAATTTTTAACTATTATTTTTATCTCTTAGAGACAGCTAACCCTTTTTTAAAATCTTTCTTTTCCTTTGCCAGTAATGTATTTGAGATTGGAAGCTATAGACTATTTTACAGTATTTTTCCTAACTTATTTTCATTACAAGAAATGTTCAATTTTAATAGCTTTCTTCTTAGTCACTTGAGTATTCGAGTAATTTAAAATGTTCTTCCTTGTCAATCCCCTCGATATCTTTATTTAGATATCTTAAATCATTGCACTGTCATATCTGCATGAATAGCAAACCCTTTTTATGACAATAATAATATGCATGTATAAACACCAATAGAACTCAATTGGACAATTTAGGCCTATTCAACATACTAATAGGAAGTAAAATGAAAACTACTATATCTACAGGTATATATAATGTCACATAGGCAAAAGCTATCAAGGTAAATAATATTGCATTTCTTATTGATATTTTGTTCAAATATAGCTAGTAATCTTTTCTTCAGATATTTGCAAGCCATTTTCAGTTTATGGAGAATATAGGCTTATAAATTACATGGTCCTATATGTAGTAAGGATTCCCATTAAGACAGGTAATATTGGTGAGAATTTATAGATTAGGTAATTACATGTACATGGATATATTTATATTATCATTGATAACAGGTGTGGATAAAATATGTTAGATGATTAAATACTATTGGGTTAACATGTAAAAGAATGTCAATAATTGGCAATGGGTTGTGCTTCTACTAAAGAAGTTGAGAAAGAGAAAACACCTTCACCTGGTAAGATAACATGCTTTCATTTCGGTACATTTTCATTTTACGCCCACATGAAATGAGGGGCGTATATTTTCGTCACCCATGTCCGTTGGTCCGTTCGTCCACAATTGCTCGTAAACACTCAAGAAGGCACAATTCTTGACTGAAACTTGGTGTGAGTATTTGTTATCAACCATGGATGAACCCGATCGAAAATCAGAAAAATCGAAAAATATTTAGTTTGAGTTATTGCCTTTGTTCCTAAAAACTCGTTCAAGTTTTAGCCTGTAAACACTTTAGAAGGCCAAATTCTTGGCAGATTTTGACAAAACTTGGTAATATTATACAGTATCGCCCCAAAAGTTCAAAAGAAGTATAGGACTGAAGGTTGAATATTTCATACTGGTAATTGCTACTGTACTGCCAAATATTTTTTATCTAAACTCAAAGCTGCCAGTGGGCGTATTTTACCTTGTCTGGCTAGCTATCTTCAATTTTTGGTTAGAAAGATTAGGCGTGAATACCTTTATCCACTTTTTTATGAAAATATCACAGTACAATTTTCTGACAGACATCGTTTAATATATTGACATTTAATTCCAATTATTATTATTTAATACTTTCCATGAAATATATTTCACAAAAGTCTTCAAATGTTTTTTTTTTATTGTAATTATAGGCTTTAAAAGGTACAAAGCTCTTTATGATTATCAGAAAATATCTGATGATGATTTACCGTTTAAGAAGGGTGATCTTATGATGGTACATGAGGACCAGTAAGTAATATTGTTCTACTTGTTTAGAGTTGAAAAAGGATAGTTCTCTCTTGCTTGCCTTTTGTTTTCTGCCTCTATTCCAGCCTCTGATGGATATTTTGACAGTTGTCAACTGGTGTAGAGTTGGAAAAAGAGCCTCTGTTAAATGGGAATTTTCCACACCTCCGAAGATGCGTTTTTTTAAAACAAAACATTAAAATACCTCTACGACCATGAATGTAAATTAGTTGGGCATCACCGTAACTTTCGTTTTGTTACTAGGCCTATGAACTTTTGGCTGCGCACTCAGTTATAAATGACCGATGCGAGATCAGTTTCTAAAAAAAACTTTGATGGAGCCGGAGACGTGACATAAATGGTGTAGTGCGAAAATGATGGTATCATTCATTGTTAAGAATATATCTGGGTTTTGCGGATCTGAGAAATTTAAAAATGTTTAAAATGCGGAATGATCCCATTTAACAGGGCCTTTTTTTTTGTCTCTACACCAGCCGACATCCTGTCCAAATAGCTATAAGAGGCTGGAATAGAGACAGATGTTTCGATCTAACCTTTTGCTTAGGTTTAATTTGTTTTTTCTGGAACGTAAAAAATAAATAACATTTCACTTCCAGACTTCCGATATTAGGATGCCTCTGTAACATCTGCATTTGAGAATGATTGCAATGCTATGGCAGTAATGACTGTCTAAACTTCCAAAAGAAATATTTTCATTTAATGGCGGAACATCTGATTTTTGTTTTGAAAAGCGATATGGATAGTTGAAATTGAGCCTTTTAAATAAGCAAAAGTAAAACCAAATAATTTCATGTGTACAATTTTCCGTTATTTAAACAAAATGGTGGTGCAAGATTGATAAGGATCTTTCATTTTGATAGATTAAAAGAAGAATGGTGGTTAGCTACTCATATAAGAAGTAAAAAGCAAGGTTATATACCAAGTAATTATGTTAGAGATGACGAGTCACCAGAAAGTCAAAAGTGAGATTTTAATTTACATTTTACCCAGTAGTATTGGTATATTACAGTACAATCTGGATCTAAACATGATAATGAACGACATAACATTATATTTTCTTCATATTTTGTGTTTGTCTTTGACAACACTATAGTGGCTGCTCTACCGGTGTTAATGCGTGATATACCCGAACGGCTGTGATACTGCTGTTACTAAGTGAGGTCACATAACCTTAACATCATTTACATGTAATTTAAGTAATTTTTCTAAGAGTTCAGAGTATATGACATTTAATGTAATTTTTACACTCAGAGTTCAAAGAGTTATATCTAATCCTAGAAAGAAATCTACATAATAACAAGGAATCAGCTCAATTTATAAGGAGCTAAACTGAAGGTCAAGAGTTCAATTCCTGCATAGGTCGATATGATACCTCGGATTTTTCAACCCGGTTTTCCCCTGTCAGTGATGCAGAGTGGCTCCGTGTGCTACAGGCTGGGTGCATTAAAGATCTGTCGACAGTTGGAAATCGAAGAAGACCAGGCTAATACTGCTGTCCTGGCAAAATTTCCCTCATTGTAGGCTACCCTACATGGTGTTGCCCGTCCTATTAGCCCACATGGTGCAGAAGAGTAGGACGTAAAACTCCATTCATTTCATTTCAATTAATAAGGAGGGTAACTATCATTAGATTGAAGTGGGGAGAGGAATTAATATATATCTTTGCTTTACATTATAGTTGGTGGTTTGAGTATGATAGAAATGAATCTAATAAGATGTTGCTATTAGCTGGTAATCCTCAGGGTACATTTCTTGTGAGAGAAGCATCAGGTAAAGATCTTAGTACCCCAGATAAACGTTACAATGTGTTGATTTTTCGCACAGAAGAAATTTTGTGCTTTATCTAGTATAAGATGTTCTAAGCACAACATGTTTCATTATGTTTTGTAGATAAGAGATCACTAGTGTTATTTGTCAGATCTGAGGATGTTGTTACATCAGCTGTTTTGTTTGTTTTTGTAGATTAAGAGATCACTTGTGTTATCTATCAGAGCTGAGGATATTGTAACATTAGATGTTTCGTTATGTTTTGTAGATTAAGAGATCACTTGTGTTATCTGTTAGAGCTGAAGATATAGTAACATTAAATGTTTCGTTATGTTTTTGTAGATAAGAGATTACTTGTGTTATTTGTCAGATCTGAGGATGTTGTAACATTAGATGTTTCGTTTGTTTTTGTAGATAAGAGATCACTTGTGTTATCTGTCAGAGCTGAAGATATTGTAACATTAGATGTTTCGTTATGTTTTGCAGATAAGAGATCACTTGCGTTATCTGTCAGAGCTGAAGATATTGTAACATTAGATGTTTCGTTATGTTTTGTAGATTAAGAGATCACTTGTGTTATCTGTTAGAGCTGAAGATATTGTAACATTAAATGTTTCGTTTGTTTTTGTAGATAAGAGATTACTTGTGTTATCTATCAGAGCTGAAGATATTGTAACATTAGATGTTTCGTTATGTTTTGTAGATTAAGAGATCACTTGTGTTATCTGTTAGAGCTGAAGATATTGTAACATTAAATGTTTCGTTTGTTTTTGTAGATAAGAGATCACTTGTGTTATCTGTAAGAGCTGAAGATATTGTAACATTAAATGTTTCGTTTGTCTTTGTAGATTAAGAGATCACTCGTGTTATCTGTTAGAGCTGAAGATATTGTAACATTAAATGTTTCGTTTGTCTTTGTAGATAAGAGATCACTCGTGTTATCTGTTAGAGCTGAAGATATTGTAACATTAAATGTTTCGTTATGTTTTTGTAGATAAGAGATTACTTGTGTTATTTGTCAGATCTGAGGATGTTGTTACATTAGCTGTTTTGTTTGTTTTGTAGATAAGAGATCACTTGTGTTATCTGTTAGAGCTGAAGATATTGTAACATTAGATGTTTCGTTATGTTTTGCAGATAAGAGATCACTTGCGTTATCTGTAAGAGCTGAAGATATTGTAACATTGGATGTTTCGTTATGTTTTGTAGATAAGAGATCACTTGTGTTATCTGTTAGAGCTGAAGATATTGTAACATTAGATGTTTCGTTATGTTTTGTAGATAAGAGATCACTTGTGTTATCTGTTAGAGCTGAAGATATTGTAACATTAGATGTTTCGTTATGTTTTTGTAGATAAGAGATCACTTGTGTTATCTGTTAGAGCTGAAGATATTGTAACATTAGATGTTTCGTTATGTTTTTGTAGATAAGAGATCACTTGTGTTATCTGTTAGAGCTGAAGATATTATAACATTAGATGTTTCGTTATGTTTTTGTAGATAAGAGATCACTTGTGTTATCTGTAAGAGATGAAGATATTGTAACATTAGCTGTATCTGTTAGGCATTATAAAATCAGAAAAAAGGATAATGGTGAATTCTATATTAGTTCCCGTTTCAGTTTTAAAAAATTGGAAGAACTCATTGATTTTTATAAGGGTAGGTCACTTTTGCAAACCCATTGTTATTAGAGTGGGCGTGCACAAACATAATGGTGAAGCTTCATCAGTTTGAAATTTCTACAAAACAGGCTGTTGAAGCTTTCCTTGTAACATTTTCCTCTAAGCACATTGACTCTCTATTGAAAACGAAAACAGCTATTGTATGTAGAGACTTGAATATTTGTATGACCATTTTTGTAATGTTTTTAGGAAATAGTGAGGGATTATGTTCAAGATTGACAAAACCATGTCCTAAACTCAGACCTGTTGTTCCTTTTCGGGAATTGGAAATCAATCGTGATGTCATTAAATTTGGTGTAGAACTAGGAAAAGGATTCTTTGGAAAAGTTTATAAAGGTACAGTTATTAGTTTGTGAAACAGAGAATTAGAATACATTTTTATTCGCATTTCTGGTTTACTCAAGTACAAATAACATGCAATTTTTTTTTCTAATATTTTTGAAATGACAGAACGAATTAAATTTTCAGTTTATTTTTTTAATTTTCTTCTAGGAAAACTAAGAAATGTCGTTGATGTTGCAATAAAAGTTTTAAACTCAGCACAGATGACAAATGTAGATTTTTTGAAAGAAGCTCAAATAATGCACAAACTTAGTCATAGACGTTTGGTAGGATTAATCCATGTTTGTACAGATACATTACCTATCTTAATTATAACAGAGTTCATGGCCAATGGGTCTTTATTAAAATATCTACGCAGTGATGATGGAAAAAATCTTGAGTTTCTAAAACTTGTTGAAATGGCAGCACAGGTTAGTAATCCATTTGTTTTCTATCACTGTCTTGTTCACCAAAATATATTTTGGGTATTTTTGGGGTAAGGGTGGGTGTGTGTGTGTGAAGATTAGCACCTAGCTTCTCTCATATGAAAATTTGTATTTGTGCTTGATTTGTTTTTTTGATGCTTGACTTTTTTTATTTGACATCTCAAAAATATTCAAAATTAACCATAAAAGTTGTTAATAGCTTTGGTTGTGTGGAATACAAGCTAGTTTCTTGCTAATAAACTATTTTTACAAATATCATATACCAATGCTTATTCGTTTTTGCATGTATTTTTGATTTTTTTTTATTTTCATTTTCACTTCTATAATTGAAGCGTAGGATTCATGTGTCATAATTTTTGTTCCTTATTATTCAATAAAGTGGTTTCTTTTTCACAAATATAGATAACTGATGGTATGGCTTATTTAGAAAAAGAACATTTAATTCATCGTGATTTGCGGGCTGATAATATTTTAGTTGATGAAAACTGTACTGTTAAAGTAGCCGATTTTGGCCTGGCAAGAGAATTATTGAACAACGAAGATTATGATGCTGCTGAAAGTAAGTTTTTTTGTTATTGTTTATTGCTCTGAAATGAACATAAAAAAATTCTCCATGAAGTTAAGCTATCACACTTTTACCAAAAGGTCTACAGCAATAAATCTTGCATGAATATTGTCTAAAATTTTATCTCTTCACGTGTATAGGTAACATAAACATCTTTAAATTTGGTCCTAATTTATCTACAGTTAATTTGACAATGTGCGTGGTTAGTAAAAGTCTAGAAAATCCTATTATCAGGACTTAGATTCATGGTAGATTGTCTTGTCAGAGTGGAGTGGTCAATAACATTGTTATGTATGTAACAATAAGTTCCATGCATGTATCTGTGGGTTATATTAGGAATTGTAATCGATTTTATAGACAGAAAAATAAATATTGTTTAAATCATCTGTGAATATTTAAGCTCTGTTTTTGATATTACAGATACAAAATTCCCTATCAAGTGGACAGCTCCAGAGGCGGCTAATTATAGAAAGTTCAGTATTAAATCTGATGTGTGGTCATTTGGTGTATTATTATATGAGCTAATTACTTATGGAAGAGTTCCTTATGTTGGTGAGCTTTTTGTTTTTATTTTGTAAATATTTATTCAGCATAAACAATTCAATTCACTTCTTCAATTCAATTCAATTCAATTCAATCAACTCAACTCAACTCAACTCAACTCAACTCAACAAATTACAAGATTACATGAACTATTGGCCTCCATTTGCCAGGCCTATCATAGCCTGCATTCTTAGGGGATATGAATTCAGCAAATTGCAGTTTGACCTGGTCGAGATAGATTTCCGGACGATCGAACTTTGCCCACGAACACGCTCAAACAAATGTATGACGATGTTGATGTTTTGAATTTTAAAGATTAATAATGATTTCCAATTTGTTACTTCAGTTATTTCCCTTGATTGAGTTAATTTATGTCTTCAGTGAAATTTTCTGTTGTTTCCAACTAATTTTGGGCGTAATTATTATGATCTTTATCAAATTAATGGATTATATATTATTTCTAGGTAAATCTGGCAAGGCAACTATTGATATGATATCAAACGGAGGAAGAATGACACAACCTGAGGAGTGTCCAAATAGCTATTATGATATTATGTTACAATGTTGGAAGCAGAGACCTGAAGAACGACCAACATTTGAATCTTTACACAATACATTTGAAGATTATATTGTGAATACAGAAAATGAATATGTAGGAGGGGATGATACAGAATAAGTCGTCCTGACATCTTCCCAACTTTAATTCATGGTCATTAGCTCCATAGATATTACTCTTTGGCTACATTGAGCTTTGAAGGGAATATCTTCTCTCATTAATTTATAAATATTCAAAATAAATTTTTCAACTGTAGACCATTTATCTTTAAATATAGGATTCAGTAATTTTAAACGCCCACATGAAAATGTGGACATTAATTTTATTGCCGTCCTCTCACCCGTCCACATTTCTTGTAGCCATGAGGCTACAGTTTGTATCCAATCTTAATGAAATTTGATATTTATGTATATATTGATAAGATCTCAGCCCCACTAAAGATTTTAGTGTCATTTCTGATAGCTAGTACTGGGCGTATGTTAACTTGCCTGACAAGCTATTTTACTTTTAAAATAGGCACACTTCCCTCCCAGAAAATTCACATGAATATGACCTATTTTTCGGACCGAAAATTCCCCTCTGTAACATTGGTTAATAGTTTCATCAACCCAAAGGCAATCTAAGACTCCTAGTAGACCTAGTATTTTGTAATGATCTCAATTTAACCTGCTAAAAATTAATACAATTTACAATTTATCTTCAAAAACAATTAACAGTACTTCCATTAATCGAAGTAGTTTTTTATGTTGTCACTTTTCTCTATGTGGAATTAAACAAATTGTTGGTTGTTTGAATATTGAAATGATGAAGCTTTAATCTTTCAAAGGCATGACGGCGTGAGAACCACATTGAAACGTTGAAGTAATAAATATTCTACAAGTGTCTTATTTATTAGATATAGCTTTAGTTTTCAACCAATTTTCTTTAAACTGTCTATGTATTTATTTAATCTATCAGAAAGTTCGTGTTGAAATTTGTGTAGTTAGTACCAATTAGAATATCAATCAAAATTTGGTTATTTTTCTATGAAGTAGGTACATCTTGACATGGCCCACTCTCTAAATTGTAGACAAACAGGGTGCCAGCTTAGTCTTAAACAAGGGATGGGTACTTGAAATTGGTTGGTGAAGCTATATTTAATTGTGTATCCCTTTGTAATATATCATATATACATGTAAATATAAAATTATTTCTTGTTCGTGTTTGTTTTATTGACATAATGGACATGTGTATTAAGAAAAAAGAAAGAAACAACTATAGGACCTATATACAAGGATAGGTTCACAATCTGAAGGATCTTTTCTACCAGCTAGTCCTTGGCCAACCTCTTAGCATTGATTTTTCCCGGATTATCCCTACCCATTTACAGAGTCGACTGAAATTATAAGTGAAGATGACTTAATCAAGGTCAGAGGACTTTCACACGATGATTGAGATTGTAGCCAACAACCGCGATTTGTTTGTTGTAACCATGCAAATGATGTTATGTTAAGAAGCAAAGCTCTAACCAACTGCTCCATAGAACAACGTAATGCAATGAAGAGTAATGCAAGAGCCATGCAGATGTTAAATTCAAAACCCAAATAAAATTCTATTCCATTGATAGTGTTCTGAATAGTCAGTCGCTATTTACTTTGTTTTAGTTTTCATAGAATTCAGCTTTAATATATTTACGTCATTGTATGTCTATATTAGGTAATATAATTTTCATTGGTCCACGTGACCTTTTGTTGCTCCTCGTGTTAAATCGCCATATTCATTCAGAAGAGTCGCCTTCAACTTTCGCAGACATATTGATAATAATTTAAGGTCTAGAGACAAAACCCTTCAGGTACCTATTATATTTTGTTTATAAATGTATTAAGCATATTATTATAGCCTAGTGTACATGTGTCAATGCATTGTCTATGAGTATTTCCTGTTTAAAGTGTC